TGCCGGAGGTGGCAGAACCAGTAGATCGGCCGTCTTCCTCTTCTCTGTCTTCCGTCGCCGGCGGTGAGTATTGTGATTTGGGTTTTCAAATCGGAAGCCATGACAGATTCTGGGCAAAACTTCTGACGACCATTACTCATCAACCATTGAAACAATAACAAATCCCAACGGTGAAATGATAAACCGACATCTCATGCAGCATATATCCAAATATCAGCCCGAGTTAACGGTTGGATCTCCCTGGATCGAAGTTAGACCGAAACTGACCTGAGATTGGCGAGCCACTGCTGAACACGCATAACACTTTTTTGGATGGGTTTCATCTCATCTCCACCATTTAGAATGTGCAATACAACCATATGCATCACATATCCAAAACTCAGGTTGATCTAACGGTGAATAATGGACAAATAGGTCAGTGGCTCTAACTGTTCCAAGAGTGGTTTGTCCAGAAATATTCAGATGGTAATATTTCTCTCGTGGTTTCAAATATAGATGTAGTAAATATAGAGACGCGCAACATACTCAAATTTCGCGTCGATCCAACTGTAAACGAGTGAGAAATCGTCCGGCGAAGCTGACAGGTTTGAGGGGGTGAGGGAGGCAGCGGCTCTTCTAGTGATGGAGAGAAAAAATTAGGGTTTTTTGTGTTTTAGGGTTTCTTTTCTCCTTTTTTTGTCAAAATTGCCCCTCTCCTTTTTCTTTGTGTTAAAGGTTGCTATTTATAGGTAAAATGTTGCTTGTATTTCAAAATTGGTCCCTCAATTTTATTTTTTTGTAAATTTTGATTTTTTTGATTTTTTTGTATTTTTTTGAAAACAAGCAATATCAACATCGACTCAATAAGGAAAATCAATTATTTTAAAAATAACGCGTTAAAAGTTGAACGCATTCCAAATATCTTTGAAAATTTAAATTCTTTTGAGATGATGTTGAAAATGCTAAAAATGATGCAAATATATTTAAAAATATATTTTTCGGATTTTCATTGTTTTCCTCTATTTTTTAGATTTTTTTTCTAAAACTTTATCAAAATATGGATAAAAATTAGGGAATAACCCAGAATTGGGTTATGACATATATAATAAAACAAAAAAAATAATTCAATGACAAACGGTGCAGCTGTCCCATGATTATATTCAGAATCTCGTGATTATATTTACAAAGACTCGTGATTTGTTGTCCCCTTTCATTGGCTATAAATAGCCAATGAAAGCAAGACACAAGGGTGGGAGAAAAAAGAATTATGAATTCTAAATTGAGTGGCACTATTTGCATTACTATTTATGTTACTATTTGGCTACTATTCATTTTTTATATATTTTTTCTACACCCTAGTAAGATATTAAATTTTTTTAAAACAAATTGAGAAATACCAAAAATATCCCAACCGTTAAATCTAATAGTGTTTGAATCTGAGCCTTTGATTTCTTAGGATACAATAGGCTTTACCACACCGGATTAAAACCCAAATCAATCTCAACCTTTAAAATAATCTGTCATTCGATCCTGTTGCGCCACGTCAGCAGCTGTACCAAACACTCGGTACACCGCGAAATACCAGATCGTAGCCCATTCAATCCTGACCGCCGATCAACTTGAAGATCAAACCAATCACAGCCGCACGATCTGTTCATCCGAGATCCAACGGCTCACAGGCTTTAGACGCATGAGTGCACTATACACTTGTCCGCATCGCAGCAGAACCCAGAGCTTCTCTCTCCTCTCGCCGACAATTCTCTCTCTCTCCGCCGATCTCCTATTTCCGGTTGTTTCAAGCCGCGAAACCACCACAGAAACGTGAATCGCCTCCTCTGAAGCAAAACCCTGGTCGTGTTACACTTTTTCACCGGCTAGTTTGGCCGGAAAAAGGTCGCGACCGTCATCGGCCAATCGACCTTCAAGTCGTCGATTCTCCCTCCTCAGCCATCAACGGCCAACGAGACCACCACCATCAGAATCCTC